CATCCAGCTGGAAATGGAAATCACATATTGTGTATGTGTATTAAAGTACCACACTTTACCCATAAATATAGGCAATTATTGCATGTTAATCAAATATTTGTTTCAAAAGCTTGAGGAGAAAAAAAATCCTTATAATAATCAGTGTGTGTGTATGTATGTATTTTTGTAGTACCAGAATTGAACCCAGTAGTGCTCTACCCCTGAGCTACATCCCCAGCCCTTTTTAATTTCTTTATCTTGAGACAGGGTCCCACTAAGTTGTCGAGGCTGGCTTCAAATTTGCCATCCTCCTGCCTCAGCTTCTCTGAATTGCTGGGATTACAGGTGTGTGCTTCTACACCCAGCTCTAATAAGCAATATTTGAATGGGTAATTTTTTATTTATAATTTTTTATGACCAGGTACAGTCAAAAAGAACTCTTTGAGATGCCATACTTTCCTCATTTAGGACTGCTGTAATAGAATGCCACAGAAACTAATTTTTCACAGTTCTGGAGACTGAAAAGTCCAAGATCAAGCTGGTCATGGTCTCTCCTTCTGGTCTGTAGACTGCAGCCTTCTGTTGTTTCCTCATATGGACTTTCCTGTGTACTCTCATTCTCCTGGGGTCTTCCTCTTCTTATAAGGACAATCAGTCATATTGGATTAAGGTGCCACCCTTAAGAACTCAGTTAACTTCAACTTCCTCCTCCAAGGAACCCTGCTTCCAAATATAGTTACATGGGGGTTAAGGCTTCAAATCTGAATTTTGAGGGGATACAGTTCAGCACACAACAGGTATGTAAAAGAAATAGTAAACAGTGGGCCCTTAGGAACTTAAGTAGATACTTAAACCAACCATTTAGGTATGAAGTTGCAGTCAGATGTAGTTACCTATATTATTCAAACAAAGCCTATAAAATGACTTTGGGTCTGTGTTTAGATTAGAGGGGTAAAATTTGGAAAAGATATTTTATTTCAATTTCTTAATTCTGTTGGATCCAATATGAGCTAATGACAAGGTCACTCATAAGAATGATGTTTGGCCAAAGCTCGGAAATCCATTTCCTATACTCTGAAGCCAGTCCTTGAGTTGTGTGACTGGGTATCATTATTTTTGCTCCAAAGGAACTATATCAAAACCTGTTTATGTTTGTTTGCTCAGCCAAATTATCTTCATGCACAAAGAAAACAAAGATTTAGTCAGGATTGGAAGGAGAGGCAGTATTACAAATCTTAAACTAGTGTATACAAGTATAGGCCTTTTCATAAATAATCTCTTTTAATCCTAGTAGATACTCTGTAGATTAACATCCCTATTTTTATAAATGATAAAAATTGAAGCTCTGTGATTTTATATAGTTTATACAAGTTTATAAAATAATAGTGAAATTTTGATTTAAACTTGAGTTTTTTCTAGCATATATTCTTTTTATCCACCCATGTAAGATCCCTAAGTTACAAATAACAAAATATAGCATTCTTATCATGTAGATTACTTTTTTTGACAGTAAAGAGATCTCACATTGGATGTTCTGGTAGTCTCTATAAGAACTTTTAGACATTTTAATCTTTGGAATTTTTTTATGTACCAATTATTACTCATACCATATATGTTACAAAGAATCTTCTATGTTTAAGGGACTGTACTAGAAAATATAGAAAATCAAGATGAATACTCTGTCTTTAAGTAGCTTATGATATAGAAGAAATAAGATATAAAGTTAAGTACATGTAATGGAAGGCAGTAAGTGAATAGGTCCATCAGAGTAGCAATGACAGGAACTTGGGCAGTTAGAAAAGAGGTGACTTTTAGACAGGAGCCCAAATAACCTAAACATGACTGTGTTACTGTGGTTCACAGAGCAGATAATCCAGTCTGTGCCCAACACTATTTCAACAAGAAAAAAAAAAAGCAAAGAATAATCAAATCAACTGCAAATACCAAAAATGGCAGCTGTAACTGATCAGGTAATGTACTAGGAGGCTTAAGGTACACATAATTCAGAGGAATTCAATGAAGAAAAGTAAGATTGTTTAAACCTGTGCTAAATGGTTACAAGTTTCTTGCTTTGAGCCACTTTGAATGTGATTATTAGCCATGTTTCATAAGTCCATGACATTTCAAATGAAATATGAAATCTTATTCAAAGATAAAAATATTGTAAAATCATCTGTTAGACATAGAAATTTAACTAAAGACCTGCTACTACACTGATATTTGTACAAAGAGCCCATTGAATTACCTATAAACAGAAAAGGTTAGAACTTTAGACAAAAGCGGTTAGATGAAACAGTATCTCTAGATACTCTGCTATAGCCATCTCATTAGCCTTCCTCACTTTAGGAGATATTATGTTATCTTTATGAACTTTCTCATGTTTTTCTCTTAAGAAATATACCCAGTTGATATCAACTAGTGTTCTTATAAAACTAGTGGAAGAGAGGAAAATACTTTATGTAACTCATTGCATCATCAAGCTATACTATGTTAGTGAACATTTCAGAATCGGTCATCAGCCATTTCTCTATAGCAATGTGAAGTTATCTAAAGGATATTGAGGTGGTCTTTACTCTTGGGGTGCTTCTGGAAGCATCTGTGGTAGGAAGAATAATGCCTCATCTCCATGGCATACTCAAGATTAGGGTTTCAACATAGAAATTTTAGGGGGAGGGGCACAAATATTTAGTGCATAACAGTCATGCATGTTTTTATGCCTAGTCTTTTGATAAATGTTACCTTTTCATGTCTATGGGAAATACTACTGCAACATTTTGGTTTAGTTCAGGTATAGAGTTATGAAATAAATATGCCCCTGGTACTCTAACATTGAATATTTAGATCTATTTTTCTAATGTTTACCTGTAATAAACTTACAATGAACATTCTTTGTGTGTGTGTGTGTGAGAGAGAGAGAGAGAGAGAGAGAGACAGAGACAGAGACAGAGACAGAGACAGAGGACTGAAGTCAGGAGCGCTCTACTGCCCAGCCCTTTCTATTTGGGGACAAGGTCTCACTAAGTTGCAGAGGTTGGCCTTGAACTTGCCATTCTTCTGCCTCAGCCTCCGGAGCATCTAGGATTATGCATGCACAACCACACACAGCTACAGTGAATATTGTTGCAGCTACATTCATGATATTCATCCTTCCACTAGCAAAAAATGAGTTATTGTTATATTTCTTACTTATAAACAGATTTTTATTATCTTTTAGATGCATAAATATAAAATTATTTAATGTTAAAATTTTAAGGTAATAAGAAAAATGAATGCTTTCAGTGTTTGTTATTTTACTGAGGTATAATGTACATGCAGTAAAAGGCACACACCTTAAGTGTTCAGCTCAGTGATAGCTTACATGTGCAGCACCTATTTGACCACCACCCAGGTGAAGCTATAGAACATTCCCATCATCCCAGAAAGCTCTCTTACCACCCTTTCCAGTCAGAAGCTCCCATCCTCAGAGATAAATACTTCCTGATTCTTGTCACCAGGTTTAATTACATCTGTTCTTGAACTTCACGTAAGTGGAATCATACCATGTATATTAACTCTTTCAAATCTTAGTTCCTTTTATTTGTTATGCTCATGAGATTCTCCCACATTTATGTGTTAATATAAGCAATTTTTAAAAATTGCTGACAAGTCTCCTGTTGTATGGATATGTCATAGTTTATTGAACCAGTCTCTTGTTGCTGTACATTTGAGTTGCTTCCAATTTGGGGTTATTATGAATAAAGATGCTTTGCACATTTGTGCACTCATTTCTCTTGGATATACAGATCAGAGTGGAATTGCTAGGTCATAAGAATGTTATGCTTAATTTTATCAGAAACTGCCAACCATTTTCCAAGTAGTTGTAACATTTTACACTCCATTTGCCAGGTGTAAGTGTTCTGGCTGTCCAACATTCTAGTCTTTGCTTGGTATTGCCAGTCATTTTTGGTTTTCTTTTTGTTGTTGTTCTTGTTTTGCCATTCTGGTGTGTATGTTGTAATAAATCATTCCTTTTTTTTCCAATCTTAATTAAGTGTGAGTGGTCTAAAATGAGTCTAAATAGTGGATTTGAGAACATTTCAATTTTAAATAATGAAAGAAAATGTTCCTAACATTCCCTATACTTTTTCCCACTTTAAAATAGGTTAAAAAGCTAAAACAAACAAGCAAACAAAAATCCTGTCTGTACATTTTAAATAAATCACTTATTTTCTCTGTATTTACTTAAAATAGAGATTAGTCATTCAACTCTGTTTTTAGGTTAGGCTTTCAAGTACAAGTTTCTTGCTTTAAGTTGTAAATTTCATGACGGTGTCTGTCCAGGGGTGATATTGTTCCAATAGCTACAGGCAGAGTGCTTCTCCTTCTCCCAAATCTGCATGCATCCCAGGTTTTATTGCCTTCATCACTGCTTTATATTTTGTTGGTTGTCATTTATTTCTGATGTTTAGTCAGAACTGGCCACTGGGAGTCTGGTTCCTTTAGAGAAGACAGACATCTTGCTGCCTTTACAACAGGCTGATGCTTCAGCACCGGGTGGAGAGGTAATTTGTCTTCATGATTCTTATGGCAACCTCACTGGGCTCTGTCATTTTCACAGTTTGATAGGAACCTCATATCTTTCCATTTTGATCACATGAAGATGGGTCCAGAGACCTCTAAATAGCACACTGAAAAATTAGGCATGACTTAGCCTCAGTAGCACAAGGGAATGGTTTTGTGGAACCTTCTCTTGTCATTTAGCCCAGTTATTTGGTGTACAGCTTTCCCAATATTTCTTTCCCAACAGAGATCTGTCTCTCCGAATCTACATCAGATGTGATGAGGAAGCCTGGAGTTTATTTTGGACTTCATGATAGATTAGAAGATAAGCTTCTTTCTTGATGTTGTCAAGTGGATGTGTTTTGTTTTGACTCTTAACACTGCTCCTCTGTAGTGCAGAGTTCTGTTGTAGTCTGCTGTTCCACAAAGCTTGGAATGCTGCCCCACCTGGTAGGTGCTTTGATAAACACACTTTGCCTTACCTGGGTTGAAATGTAGCTCTGATGGAACCAAGAAGAGCTTAGGATCTGCTTAGTCCTCGGATTTCAGGGATGCAAGTTCTTCCTATAGCCCATAGAAATGTCTTTCCCTTATATAAGTCCTAAGAAGATGAAAAAAGAAAAATTGAATGTTAGGGACAAAAGTAAGCAGACAGACTAGGATTGTTTGCATTTATTTTAATCTTTAGGGTTTGTAAATTGCAATCTGTAAAGGATATAACTTTGTTTACCTATTGGATAATTTGCTGTGTGGGATTTAGCAAGTCACAACCTCTCCTACTTCTTTATTGACAACAAGCATTGACACTAATGATATGCAAGGACCCTCTCACTTCAGAGGTCAAAGAGAGGCTGCATAGCTATGGTTTCTAAGAACACTGCTCAGGAGCTGGACACTGAGTTCAAATACTATCACACTTGATATCTGAGTAGGTTTCTCCCTTTCTTGGTACCCTGTACAAAATGGTGGTAATTAGATCACCCATACCACAGGATTATGATCACAATTCATTGAGGGAGAAAAGTACTTCTTATTTCTCCTGGCACGGGATATTCCTCTAAATAATATATGAAATATCGCTATAATGTCTGTTCTAATTTGAATTTTCTTATTTCCTTAGAAGTATCTTCTAACATTCTTACTGGAATAAGAAGGAAGACAAAATAGTATTGATTTTCTATTTAATATAATGCTTTAATTTCATTGAAATAAATTTCTACATCAAATTTATATGTAATATCTAAAGGTATTTTGGAAAATTCAAATTAGTAAAAAGAATAAGATAAATGACTCACACATTTACCTCCCAGATATAACCATTTTGTTTTATTGCAAATCATCCTTCAATTTTTTTAAACTCATAGATTAACTGTTTTCCAAGTTATAATCATTCTGTATAAATCATTTTGATTCATTATTTTTTCATGTTCAATTAATTCATAAGTGTTTTTGTTATTACATAGGATTAATTAAAGCATCACCCCAGTGGTTGCATAATATTATTTTGAATAGATTCTTTTTGATTTATCTTTGCCAGATCAATGAACATGGTGGTTGTTTATGACTTTTCAGTACTATAAATAAACATGGTTCAGTAAGTATTCTTCTTCCAGACCTAGGTTTACAGGGTTCATTATTCTTTCAGGTAGATTCCCAAAGGTGGAATTACTAATTCAAGAAGCATGAATAGTTTGTGGCACTTGAGTTTGCAAAGGAACTTCCAAAGCTTGTTACTATTAGTTATATATGAACATGTCTATTTCCTCACATTTCCCCAGAACCAGTGATCATTTTTCTAACCTGTGCCAACTAATAGGCATCTAAGATACTGCTGTTTTTATCTGTGTTTCATTGTGGGATGCTTAAACATTTTCTCATGCCTTTCCTTATTTAAAGGTATTTGTTCTTTTAGAAAATGTCTGTTTATATCCTTAACCTGACTGAAATCTTGTTGTTTTCTTGTTCACTAATTTGTGTGAGTTCTTTGTAGAGAAATAACCCTGAACCTATACATAAAACATTTGCGAGAATATTTCCTCATGTATGTGCTTATTTGAGTTATGGTCTTTTAAAATCATACAGAAATAAATGAGAGGACAAATCTAACTTTGAACACTTTTCCACTCTTGATTTTTCTATAGTTTCTAAATTTACAAGTTATTTATGCTATAGGGATTTGGTAATCTTAGTTCTGTTTTCCCCTGGTTTTTCTAGAAGTGTGTGTGTGTGTGTGAGTGTGTGTGTGTGTGCACGCACGCACGCACGTGCACACACACATATGTATGTACATATGTGTGTGTGTGTGTGTATATATATATATGCATACATATAAATTTAGTACTTTTATATAAACTTAAATGACTTTAAAGAGAACCAAAGTTTCTGGTATTTCCTTTGCATTCTTCACTGAATTATTGCTATAGACTGAAATCAAACCTAAATCCCTTTCCACACTGGTTGGAAAAGCATGACATTTAGTGAGGTGTAATATTCCCCAGTGGTGCAATTATTCTATGAAACTCACAATCAGAGTATTTATTAAACGATTAAAGAGTATTTATTAAAAGCTCTTTATATGACTAAATGTCCGTCACAACAGATGACCCCGTGGCCTGTAAGAGACTATAATAGTTGGTTTGGAAACTTGGAGCACTCAGTAAATGTTAGTTCTGAGAACCTCAGAAATGAGTTCTCTGGCACACAGCTTCCCTCCTCTGCCCTCAGACTCCTCCTCCATGAACTGAGTGAGTTGAACTAGCTGATTTCTAAGGAGCTCTGCAGCTCTGGTGTTGCTGAATTTGGTGTACAGAAGCACTTGTGTACACACCAGTGTGCAGAGACATAGAAGCCTTTGTCTATGCTGTCTACCACCTATTTTCCAATCTGCAACATCATAAGCTTTGCTCATTCACACTTGTAGCAACAGAGAGACAAGGGCTTCTAGTAGCAGTGGAAAAGAATTATGAGAGACAAACCATTTAGTCCATAGCTGCCTTCTCTTTTAGATAAACCTCTACAGCAATTAAGTGATCACAGAAAATTGGCCACTAGGAATAATAGCACTGATTACCCACTTTTATATATCACCTTTCAAAGTTTCCTGGGTCTTGTAAAGCATCGAGGGGCTACTAAACCTCTCCAGTTGTTTGTGAAAGTCCATAATCTTTAGCAAAACCTAAGTTTGATGTGCATTTTGGAATTCAGAATTCTTCTGGGTTCAGAAATGGCATATAATACATGAACTAAATTTCATGTAATATACCCAGTGGGATTTAGGCAGCACTCTTAATCAAACACATTATTACTTTTGTAGCCAAATGCATGATACTCATAATATGTTAGATAAATAATGACTGTAAGTAACTTCACTCAATTTCATGGTAGGTTTTGCCAACACATGAGGTTAAATTTTAAAAGAGAGAGACAGAGAGAATTTGGTTTCTGTATCATTTTGGATTTTGAAAAGTAGATAGGGTTTGTGGGCATCAGTATTTCACCATACCACATTCACCTCCTGAAAGTCCAGATCTGGCTAGGGTCTCTCATAGAAACCTCTCACAGTGATTTTTGGCAAAGAGACTCTAGGACCCAGCCTTCACCTGGTGTCACAGGCCCTCCAGCTTATATCTCATTCATCTGGAAGCCTTTCTCTTTCCTGACTAAAGAAGCAGCCTTCTTCACAAGCCCATTCACCTATGCTCCAGCCACACTTAGCTGCTCTGATGTATTCTAGACTTGCTTACTCCTGATGATTCTTTTGATCTAGTTTTCTCTACCTATGGCAACTCTGTGTTTATTTCTCCTCATTTCTAGCCTAGCTATATTCTGCTATTAATCCTAACCACCTACCTTTCTCTCCTTTGTTCTGCTCCTATATTAGTCAGATTTTTGTCACTGTGACTAAAATACTAGACAATAACAACTTAGAGGAAGAAGAGTTTATTTTAGCTCATGATTTCGTAGGGTCAGTCCATGATGAGCTGACTCCATTGCTCTAAGCCCAAGGTGAGGCAGGACATCATGGCAGAAAGAGCATGGCAGAGGGGAGCTTCTCAGGACATGGCAGCCAGATAGCAGAGAAAGGGAGAAGCCACAGGGACAAGATACAGTCCCCAAGAGCATGACTCCAGTGACCCACCTCTTCTAGCCACACCTCACCTGCCCACAGTTATTACCCAGCAAAGCAGTCCTTTCAAATAGTTAATTAATCAAGTGGATTAATCCACTGATTAGGTCACAGCCTTCATGATCTAATCATTTCATCTCTAGATAGTTCTGCATTTACATAGAAGCTTTTCGGGGACACCTCATATCCCAATCATGATAACTTCTATATTCCATACCTTTATTAAGGCAACTATCAAAGGCTGTCTAGATTAGAATAATTTATATGTGTATTCTCTACTAACTTATGAACCCTTAGAGTAGTGGTTCTGAAATCTTAGTAAACATGAAGCACTGCTTATTTTTAACCCAGATTTCTGGGTTCTTCTGTCATCTCTCCTGAGAGATTCTTTTTCATTAGGTTTATATGCAGGACCCAGGTTAACTGCATGCCAGCGAATCTCTGATTATTTAAATTCTTTGGTCACACTTCCTTGACTGTGAGGAATGCAGTGGCAGGTTCTTTTGCTGAAACAAGAAGCTACCCTGGAACTCTGAAGTCAGAACCTAAAACTGAATTGTCACTCAACATCAGTCCACACAACAGTGCTGCCTTTATCTTTGTTATCTCATTTCTTCTCCTTCACACAATTGTATTGGAAGTGAGATCAATAACAGATGATAGGGATTATAGTATAGTTTCTAGTAATATTTGTGTAGGAGGTTTCTTGGGAGAACAGACTTGAGCCAGTAATACCAGAGTGTGGAAAAAGCCATGGCAAGTGCAAAGACAACCAAGTGTTAACAGGATGATGGGTTAATAGACAGCCTGAGAATATTGGAGAGTAGATTAAAACACACACACACACACACACACACACATGCACACACAACACATGGGATCCTGTGAGCTTGCCCAGGCTGGCCTTGAACTCCTTGCCTAAGGTGATTCTCCTGCCTCAGCCTCTTGAGTAACTGGAACTATAAGAGTGCGCCACCACACCTGGCTCAGGATTATGGATTTTTAAAGGCTGAATAATTTACCTGGTCACATCCCCCACCAGGGACATGTGCTTCAGAAATGCTGCTGCCTGCTCTGGATTTAGATTTATCAGGCTGAAGAGAGCCTACTTGTAGTCCATAGTTCAGCCCCACCAAAGATATACCCCACACTCTTCTTTTGGGTTTCTAATAGTGATGATGTTGATGAACATAGTGATTCATGGAGCTAATGTTTGGTGAGCTCTGTGTGCTGGAACTGTGTTAATCACGTTACATGAATTATCTCATTTACTCCTCAAGACAACCCTGAGAGGAGGTGTTATTTTTGCATGATTTGCTAATGAGGAGCAGGATGTGCAGAGAAGTAAGGCAGCCTGGCTGTGTCAATAGAATTGATGAGGAGGGAGTAGGACAAGGATGTCAGTCCAAATGAGTTAACTCTGGAGCCCAAAGTGCTCCCACAGTGCTCCAGTTACCACTTCTGAAGTTTT